CGATTCACTACGATTCACTACGATTCACTACGATTCACTACGATTCACTACGATTCACTACGATTCACTACGATTCATTACTAAATTACTAGCGTCACACCGATATACAAGCAAATCATAGATGAACACATCCACACATCTGCGTTACTAAATAAAATTTATCCCCAAAAAAAATTTAATTGCTTTTTATACGTTAAATTTATTTCCCCACTAATTTCCGAAAAGGTTGGGGTTTTTACCATTAGTGCCTGTGTCATTTGTAAATATAGAATAATTAACACCAATATGTATCGGAACCTTATTCCAGCAGAAAAATTCAGTAAAACGTCCTATATTTAGATCATCGTGACTAGGTCTTTTCAATAACTATGACTCATCATTCATACACACTTATACACACACTTATACACACATTTATACAGTTATATAGTGTGTAATTGATCCATGAAATTCTTAATTCCATTAATTCCATTTATGTTACGTCATGCTCTTCAATATAAATTTGTATAACAATGAAAACACCCGTGCATCTTAAATTATGCAGTAAATATTTCTTGTACGTGCTTAAAAGACCTGCGTGATTATTATTAATCACCCCATCTTAAATCTTATAACGATAAACCTCTTTATAATTCTCTATAATTTTTTTTCTATCACCTTTTTTTTTTTTTTCATCTTTCAATAATTTTTTTTTTAAACTTTTCTCGATACAATAAATAAATAATAAAAATGACCGCCGCGACCTCTTCCATGGCTGACATTGCTAAACCTTCTTTAGGTGTAATGAAAAGAAAAAGCATTATTATCCCTCAACCATCTAGCCATCGTAAACTTAAAGATGCAATTAAAAAAATTGTTGATGAAATATTAGAACTTTTCATTGAAGCTCAACAAATTGGCAAAGATGATAATGGAACTACAAAAATGATTTTGGACCATATTAAAAAGCGAAATACTAATGCTGTAGAAGTCCTAGAATGGTTATTAAATAATCAACATACGCTGCAATACAAAACTCTTCTTGGATACTTTTATTTACATGACATTGGCACGGAAATAGATACCAGAAAGGCTTATGTTTTGTATTTAGCAGCTGCAAAAAAGGACTATCCTATTGCTCAATATTTGCTTGGTGAATGCTATTCGTCGGGTTCCGGGACGAAATCCGACGATAAACTTGCATTCCAATGGTACCAAAAAGCTGCTGAAGGTGGAAGTACTAATGGTCAAAATTGGGTTGGTTATTGTTACGAATTTGGAAAAGGTACCCATAAAGATTGTAATAAAGCATTCAATTATTATAAGAAATCTTCAAGGCAAGGGAATATGGTTGGAATGCATTTTCTTGCTGATTGCTACGAAAAGGTATCTTGATAATAATAATAATAATAATAATAATAATAATCTATAATAATAATAATAATAGTAATAACAATAATAATAAACTATAATAATAATAATAATAATAATAATAATAATAATAATAATAATTATTATTATTATTATTATTATTATTTTTATTACTATAGTTATTATTATTTGTATATTATCTTTACACTATTTAATCTATTTAATATTTGTTATTCGCGTTTTCAGGGAACTGGAACGGCAAAAAACTTAGATATGGCAATTCATTATTATTCCAAGGCGTCTAAACTTGGCCATGAAAGCTCACAAATTGTAATGAATAAACTCTTGAAGGCAACTAGTTCTCCTCCATCGTAGACCTCGTAGATTCTTAAATTCGTAGATTTAAAAGTTAGTCACATGTTTTATAATGTTTATTACAAAAATGATAAAACATTTCGTTTTTTCGTGTAAATTTTTTCTGTCTTGCATTTTTTTTCTCTTTTTTTTGATAAATTATATATTATAAATACACTCGCATGGTCTCGCTCGAATATCTTTTACATCTAGATAAATCGAATACGATTCCATGTTTTTATTCATTTTTTGTTTTTGTTTTTGTTTTTTTATTTTGTTTTTGTATATTCAATTTTTTTGGTAGAAATATTAATTCATTGTAGTATTGTTTTTTTTTTCTCGAATTTCATTGATTAATGCATGTAGTTATGTAGTAATTCATTTTTTTTTCCTCTTCAAGAATTGTAAATCTATTTTGCTGCGCACTTTATTCTGAAAGTGTAATATTTTGTATTTACAAAAGCTAATAGATAGATTTACAATTCAGTGTAATTAATTTTCTAAATATATTATATATATATATAATAATATACGTATATATAATATATGTATATATATATATATATAATATATATGTGGTTAATATTCTGCCTTACTTATGACAGTAAAATTCATTTAAATCTTAAAAATTATATCGCATTTAATGTAATCTTGATTAATTAATAATTAATTTTAATTGAATGTTTCTTGTTATGTAATGGTTTTTTTTATATCGCATTTAATGTAATCTTGATTAATTAATAATTAATTCTAATTGATTGTTTCTTATTATGTAATGGGGGTTTTTTTTAATGTGTAAAAGAAAAATATATATATATATATTGATAATAATAAAACATACAGTACGTAATAAGTTTCGACTTATAAATTTGTCATTTATCGGGAAAATCAAAATTTTAATTAATTATAATATCTGTATATGTATATAATGATATCATTTACGCTTACGTACAAACAAACGCAAACTTGAAAATATCCCTAATTGATTACATTTTGTTAATTATTTTTCCACTTAGGGAAACCTTATGAAATTTCCATTTACAGATACAACGGATAAATTTTGTTTATATACATACAAGATTGCTTTCTTGTACGTATTATATAAGTACGTATATCGAGATTTCTTTTAAATCTAATGAATGATTTTTGATTAATAATTTCCTATATCGTTAGTCAAGTCATACAAAATGTAAATACATAAAAAAAGGGGTATTTATCTTAATACGTAGACAAAAGGGAATCAATAATCATTATACTTCAATCCCAATAATTGGTTTGACGCTACTGAATTACAGTTAAAATTTCTACATAACTTCAATATACTACTAAAATAGGGTTTGAAAATAGATTCACGACTATTGTTTGTGATCATTGTTATTCGTTAATGAGCTTGATTTGTGAATACAACTTACTAATGCTAATACATACTTTCATTATCCCTTAAAAGTTGAAATTTCGGAATAGTTCAAATTTGGTTTAATATCGTAATGTTACAAAAATATTCTAGTGACGTTTAGTTTCTATATGGTTTAAAATTAATTGATACGTACCAAAATTCTATTTTTACCCAATAATAAAAAAATATATTAAAATTATTATACAACTGCCTTATTAAAATTTCTTATTAAAATTTATTTATTTATTTGTTTATTTTATTTATATTTAGGATTTTATTATCCGAAGACAGTGACATGGAAAATTTTGGGTAACAAAAAAATTATTGACAATAATAATGTTCATAATGAATAATATCAAGAGGTTGTTTCTAAGATTAGCAAAGATGATATTTTTCATCTAAAGTTGGCAAGTAATAATAAGAATCATCAAGCAACATACATATTAATCGCAACATATTAGTCGCGACTTCTCAATCGGGTGATACCGAATAAAAAGAGATTAAAGATTGGTAATCATGATGCAGCTAAACCCTATAAAAAAAAATTAAAAAAAAAATTCAAACCCCGTATCCAGGCTTTCTTCAACTTATCATTCTGGAAAATTCTTGGTCATTTCCATTAGAATCCTGATAAATTCCGGGTAAAATCAAATCCGGATAAGATTCGGCTTCTAATGAATTATTAAACCGAATCTTGCCTTGATTTGATTTTTACCCGAAAATTATCGGGATTCTATGAAAAATGACCACGAATTTGTATAAGGTGGGTGCGGGTATTATGGCGAATGTGGGTATTGTGGCGAATTGAACATATAACAAGGAAACAGGATTTTTTTACTAAGCAAATCGTATTTCATCCACTAAGTAAAGTTATCGGAAATGCCGTGTTACATATATCTTCAAAGTTTGGAACGATTTTGTTGACTTTTCATTAATCGACTTTCACGTTATACGGCTTGATGCAGAAAATTTATCTACTGCGCCAAAACATATATTGTGAAAGTCGATTAATGAAAAGTTAACCAAATCGCATCAAATTTTGAAGATATATGAAAAACGGCATTTCCGATAACTTTACTTATTAGACGAAATACGGTTTGCTTAGTAAAAATCCTAGTTTGTGTAAAATGATTATTACCTTAAGAAAATTGATATAAATTACTGCATTACCGTGTATTATGATAGCGATAATCACATTTATACTATCGTTACCGTTACAAAAATCATGCTCATTTCTTTTTTTTTTTCGCTAACACCAAGCTGGTATATTTACCTCAGCAAGTTTTTCAGCAGTTACCCATTTTACTGTACCTAAATAAATTTTTTTTTTCTTTGTTCTATGTTGGCACGAACTATTAACTTCCCTAAATACAGCAGTCAGACCTTCAAAATGCACCCTCTTGGAACCACAGTAAAAAAAAAAATTGATTAAAGAAGGTGTGCATTTATAGAAAACAAATGCATAGAATTCTTATTAAATAGGACCAAGTTATATTAGAAAGAATTTACATAGAATGTGCATAACTATGTATTTATGGAGGTCTGACTGAAGTTTGACAGTAACTCTAAGAATAACTTATATTTTATTGTTTAGATAAAGAATATTGCCGCTGTGAAGAACGCGATGAATAAGTTGATGTTGGTAAGTCCAATATTAATAAAGTTTTTGAAATATTATTTTGGCCAGGATTTGGGACTTGGGTATAGACAAACCCAAACTTTAATCATTTGTCAAGTATAAATTGTAGATGCTTTATAAGCTAATGTTTACTATTTATGAAGTTTTCTATTACTAACTGAAAAAATTATATCAATTTATATTTCAAATAAGAGGGAATTGCGGATTTAATCTATACAAATTGTTAATAAGAACTCTTAATTTTTTCACAGACTAAATTTAAGATGGTATTTAAGTTTTATTATAAAAGATTTAAGGTGAATCGATTATGATCCAATCATGTGAAGAATTCTTATTAATTTCTTCATGAGGTGATTACATCGCGTGAAGAATTCTTATTAATTTCGTGAGATTTCTTTCTTTTTTGTTCACAACTGACTGCTTCCAGAGTTTCTTCGGTTTCAAATCCTTCAATAATTAAATCTTTATTTATAATAGGTTTATAGATCGGTTGATGATACACCACCTTTTTCGTGTTCTCTTTACATTTAATGATATACGGTAATTTAATGGGCTGTCTTTTTTTTTTTTTATATCGCCTGGGTGGTGACATTTTGTTTATTAGATAAAGGCAGCGACAGATTAAATTTTTTTTTTTAAAAAAAAAAAATTAATGTTTAAGCGATGGCGAATACGCCATTTTTTAATGCTTTTAAAGGTTGCTGTAATTGATGAATTTAAACAAGAATGAATAACAATAAATTTATATAAATAAACATTTTTTCCTTTATTAATGATCGATTGCCAATTATTTTAATATAAGTCTATGATTAGTGTTTGGACTTAAGCGACTTCAAAAAGTTTCATCATTCGAACAATAAAAAAAATCCCGAAATCGTATAAGGCTGAACTTTAGTACAGTCAGACCTCCCTAAGTGCACCCTCTATAAGTGCATACCCTCTCTGAATGCATGATCAAGTGCTGGTCCAAATATATACTCGACCTTTATAAATGCACCTTTTCTTATTATTCTCTATATGCACGTTATTAAAGTGTGGTCCCAAGGACGTGCACTTAAAGAGGTCTGACTGTATACGGCAAAACGTTTTTGTTCGAATTCTTTTTTTGTTGAAAATGACTTACCAGGATAACAAGAAACATGAAGATTATCACAATAGTGATTATGGTCGTAGTGCTTACTTTTCATTTCTCCCTGATATAATCGTGCGACTTATAACACCTTTGATGCAGATTCAACCATTGATATATCAAAAATGGTTAGCGACTTGATTTAAAAAGTAATGGTAATTAATTTTATAGATTGCTAAATTCTAAAAGGAAATTAAAACAAAAACACTACTGTACATATAAATCTCTATGTGCATAAAGCTAGCTCATAAAAACTAACTAAATTTCACTATGTACAATTGCATGCGCACGATTCTAAATTTATATTCACTATAGATCTAATTCGAAAATATGATTGTGATCGTGATTCTAGAGCTGATCAATTTATTTTATTCATAATGAATCAGTCAGCCTTAGCAATCACAATCGCAATCATTTTATAATAAATTAATCATAAAGATTGCATAATTTGCAAAGCACATTTAAAGTAAAATTTTTTTAGCGAGTACAATTAACACTTTTATTTGTCATTCGTATCCAATAAAAATAAGACAGTTCTTTATTATCTTGCAATAAAAGGATGCTATTTAAATGCTTTAAAAATCCAAAATTCAACAGTTCTGATTTCGAAGTATCAATAAAACCGCGATTATTTTTGTTCAAAAATTATTTTCTAAATCCACTAATACAGTTAACTATTAAAACAAAAAATGAAAACTATTAAAAAGACTAAATCCAAATGTGTAAAAAAATTAAACTTGAAGGCCAAAATGAAAAAAACGAAACCCGTATCTAAAAAAACATCTAATAAAAAAACAATAAGGCTTAGTCATAAAAATCGTTATACCACAATTGAAGCTGCCCTTAAAGAACTTGCA